GCATGTATAATAAGTGCATTTCAGGCAATCGATGAATCTATTTCCGCTCTCTTTGCGCATGGAGGGACAGAAGTTGCTTCTATTTTGTGGCTTTTGCAAATCGTATTTGACGTATTGATGGTAATTTCTCAGAAACATGCCATTCAACTGATTCAAATCAATGCCCTATCGTACTGTACCGCCATGCGGGCCTGGAAAACGAGTGCACGGGTTTTATTGGGACACACGACCAGTGAAAATGATGCCGCTGCGTATGGCCTGGAAAACATTGACGCGTATAGGGAAGTCGTTAAAAGTGTTCTTTTACTTGCGACACGTTGGTTTAATGTTGTTTTGTCCGCACTGGACAACTCAGAGGCCGCTCTTCTGCCGGTTGCCGAATTTGTGCGCTCCAATCAACTGCTGTTTCAGAGCGTGTTGAGTTCGCCCTATTTGGACTTTCACCGGCGACACGTTGACTCGCTGACGCTGGACCTTTTTTCTGAGATTGGCGGAATGCTTTACCGTCTTTCCTGCTCGCCACTCGTGGATGAGTGTCGTGCATTGGCCCACTTGTTTGCTCTCCCCGATCTTCTTGCCGTTCTCACGAAAAGTGAGTTCATTGAAAGCCCTATTTTTATCACCGGCAACACGACAGCACCCGTGTCGGTGTCATCGCAACTCACTGTCAAGCAGACGGGCTCTCTGCCTTCGCCAACTCAACGCCAACAGATATACGTCGCTGTGCAAAACATTTTGCAATTTTTGTTGAGAGCGGAAAACTTGGGGGGACTCTTTGCCACGTGGGGAGAGAACGGAACTGCTGTTATGAATGCCGAAGGTGCAGTTGTAGAAGAGCATCCACCGCGTCTCTGCGATGAGGCACGGAACCGGGTTCTGATGGTCACCATCACTGAGCAGGTGGTTGTCGTTATTGAGAAATTCCATCATGGTGAAGTGGTACAGGCGGTAGATTTTATACCACATCTTGTCGCCCTTCATTCCCTCGTTCTTTTTTTGCATGCCTTTCTGTTATTGGATCGGGCGGCACACGTAAAAGACGCGAAGAGTCAGTGGGGCTCCATTGTGCACGCGTTGGAAGAGGCTCAACGGGTTGTGAATTTGTGGAGGGCCTTTCACTCCGACTACCTCCGAGGACTGCGGGTCACTCGAGTGGGTGGCGGTCGGTGGAGTGTGGCAGCACCATCGGTCAGCAATCAATCCATATACCCGGCAATCTCAGCGCCCCCGCAGGATGATACTAGTTGCCGCACAAACATTTATCACCAACATCTCCTAGACGCCCCAATGCGACAGAGTCTGAAGCAGAAGACAGATAGTGCAATGGAGCAGAGCTTCACAAACCAGCTTTCTACGGTCACTCTTCCGGCTGCTGGTAGTGGAGCAATGCAACTCGGTACGACGGTGGATGCCGCTTCCCTGGCATTCGACGCAGTCACACTCCCCCCGGCTGCTGGTGACGCCTCTATCGGTGCGTTGACGGAAACTACGCGTCGAAATGAGGTGGCACTGATTGATGAAGCCCGGAGTGTGTATCCCGAGCGGAATGACGTCCTGATCATGGAGTCCCTCCTGCGTCAGTTGAGGGTGTCGATCTCCAACGCTTTGCGTCTCGCCTCACGTACATAAACGAGAAGAAAAAAGAGGAATCAGCTGAAAAGGCGAGTGGTGGTTGGGAAGCAGAAAAAAAAAAAAAAAAAGAAATTTGTATCGAGAAAGGGAATAGAAGAAAGGGTAGAGATGAGAAATTATCAAAAGAAAAAGAGAGAGAGAGAGAGAGAGAGAGGAGGCTTCCGAGGCGGGCAATTGGGAAGAGGAGGAGGAGTTGAGAAAAGAAGGATGTTGGGTGGGTGGGTGGTGGGAAGAGGTATGAATTAAAAATATAAGTCTATTGACACGAATAATTATTTTAAGGCTATTTTTGAAGGGCCCGTTGTATACATCTCCTTCTGTTCTTGTTTGTCATGTAGCCCACTTCTCTTACTCTTTTCAGGCGTGGTGCTATGGCCACTGTGGACGGCTCGGTATTTACTTCCCTTCCCTCACATTTATCATCATTATTATTTTTTATTATTATTATTATTTTTTTCATTATAAATATTGTCTGTCTTTTTCTTTTGTGTGACCGCCAGATGTTCACAAGAAGTTGGGTTTAATGCACTTTACTTTAAGCACATTTCTTTATTATTATTATTATTATTTTCTTTTTTTTTTTTTTTTTCTCTGCCTTGGGTGGGATTCCGCTTAAAGATCCGCACGTGATCCCATTAGAAGGTCGCACCTGCACGGAAGCAGGGAGGACCGTCACAGTTTGCCGTGTGTCGTTGCTTCTTAGGCTTTTTTCCCCCCAACACATCACTGAAAAGAAAAAGAAAAAGAAAAAGAAAAAAAAAGAAAATGAACCCCGCCACACAAGACACCATCGAGACATTTCGCCAGCTGCAGAAGCTTTCCAGAGAACTGCAGCCAGTGAAAGCGGCATTGGAGACTCTTGTGAAGCGTGAACAGGCAAATCCAAATCCTACCGCAGCCGCGGGATCGCTGGATAAAATTGCCCTGCGTGTGCTTAATGTTTCTCGGAAGTACAGTGTATTTTTTGATCGAGCCTCGTTTCTCTTAGAGTGCGAGCTGCCTCGTCTGCAGCGCATGACGCCTCTTCTAGAGATTAAGGAAGAGCATGAAAGTAGTCTTCGGCCCAACGGCCACAAGAAGGACGATGATACCACAAATGATGCATTTCGTTATGTTTGCTCACCAAAGGTGCCGCATATTTTGAACAGGGAAAATTATTACATAATACGTGGGATGTTGCGTCTGCGCATGGAGATGGTGGACTACCTCATCGCTACGGAGCGGTATCAGCTGGCGCGTCACGTCGCGGACGCCTATGGACTACCTTTGTTTTGGTTTCCAACGCTGATGTCACTTGCACTCCCCCCACTACCGCCCATTCAAGGTGGCAGTATGAGCGGAAACAAGAACAATAGTAACAATAGCAATAATTCATTTGAGAATCAGGGAAGGAAGTCAGATTCTTTGCCCACATCTAACTTCCTCACAGCGTACTTTACGGTTTCGCATCCAGAGGAGCAGGGGCAACCCTCCACCACGGTAGCGCCGGAGCACATTGCCATCCAGTGTATTGAAGCAAGGCATTCCGTTACAGAAGCAATTGCATACTGTGAGGAACGGCTTTTACCCGCCGTGGAACGAATTGACGACAAGCGACAGAAGAAAGTTTTGGAAATGTTGTATGATCTTTTGGTAGAACTACACGCCACACGACTGCTACAAATCTTTCGAGATGGACAAACCGCCGACCATGTTGTGTTTCAATATATTGCAACTCACCTTCTGCCACACGCGACACGAAGACCAGCTTTTGTGCAGGCTATTATCAACGCTGTAACACCGCAGAATGTGTCTTATAACTCTTCAGCAATAACCGCAGAGAAATCTTTTACGAGTGGAGGCGACGAGCGTTGTTCGGCGTCGCCAAAAGCAAGAAGTGTTCTCACAAAGAAGAACGAAGAGTCAGTGCGCCTTGTGGTTTGCATGATGTCAGTGGAAGGCTACCACAAGCTTGCTGTGTCATTTCATAAAGTAGCAATTCTATTGGGATCCCAACTTCTCTCTGTAAGTGAAGCCCTTGGAAGGATTCATGGTAAACAAAAAGAGAGTGATGAAATGACAAATGGCTGGACACACACTTTGCCGGATCTTGTGACTCGCGTTGTGGCCACTTCTATATTTTTGAAGGATGAGTACTTTGACCGCATGGTAATGGAGCGACTTGCCTCTGCGTCCCTAATTAACCAACCCATTCCGGAAAGTCACCTAAACACACAATCGGGATCTGTTGCGTTTGATCAGTCTATGATGACTTTGGTGGAGGAGACGCTGAGCAGTGCCTCAATTTTGGGCTCCAAAAATGAAGAGGTCAGTACAATGCCACTGACAGCAGCAGAGCTTCTTGAAGCAGAGGATCGTTGGAGCAATGATGTACTCTTCATTCGACGTTCCACACGTTTTTACTGCTACTTGACAAAGGAGTGTCTTGATGGTGGGACCGGTGGAAACTACCCGATTGCACTTCCCAACGGCACGGTCCTGTCTAAACTAGCCGTGATGCAGTGTTGTATGAAGAAAACCAGTGAGGGTGATCGCTCCCAGAACATCGTGGTGTGTCCACGCACAAAGGAGGAGTTTTCTTCTTCATCGCTGAGGCGTATATTTGTGACATGAGTGCGGTGGGGATGAAATATTAAATATCTTGGCTGCATTCTTTCTTTTCATTTTTGTCATTGAAGGAGGAGGGACGTGTAAAAAAAAAAAAAAAAAAAAGAGAGAGAGAGAGAGAGGAGGTTTTGGAAGGGGGAGGAGTTGTGTGAGGGTTGCCATTTTGCTTGGTTTGCCTCTTCACACTCCATCCGTCGTCTTTTCAATGTGGTGTTTCTCTGAAGGTCCAATTTTATTTACTTTTATTTTAACCCGCAACTTTCCTCTATCCCACGTTTGTTTTGCTTTTGATTTTGGTTTTCTTCACACCTTCTCTCCTGCCCCGTGTGTGCGTGTGTGGTGCTTTTTTTTTTTTTTTTTTTTTTTTTGGAGTGTGTCATTTGTTGCAATTAGGCCAAATTGTTTTTGTTTTTCTTTATGGTGTTGTTCTTTTCTCTTGGTGCTGTGGGCGGGGTGCGTGCTCCGTACAATATGAACGCTCATTCAGTGCCACGCCCGTTTCCACCCTCCTTTTGTGTGTGTGTGTGTGTTTGTGTTTGTGTTTGTGACGGTGGCGGTTTCTGTGGGGGATGTTTGCTGTGATACAATTCACATGTTTGGCGTCCAACAGGGTTGTTTGTTGTTGTTGTTTCTTTTTTTTTTTTTAGTTTTTCTTGAGGGGGGCCGCAGGGGTTGTGGAGGGCAGACGAGAGAAGGACACAAGGAAGGAAGGAAGGTGAAGCGTTTGTTTCATTGTTCATGGCCATTGGGGAGCGAGGAGGATGAATAAGGACAACATGTACCGTGGTGGTTGCATGGTGTTGCTGCAGGCGATTCTCACGCAGGCCTGTCGGACAATTATTGCCTTTTGTGTTGTCGCCGACAACAGCATCCCTGCGAATAGACGTCTAATTGCCATGGCGAGTTCTTATGTCACAGCATCCGAAGCGGCATCTCTTATTGAAGGCATGGGCAAGCATGTACTTTTGACGGCGGTGCATCTCCTTTGTTGTGAAAAACATTCTTACAGGGCCTGCCGGCATTATCATGGAGAATTTGCCGCTGCCGTTGGAGCTATTCTGCAAGAGTCTTCCTTGCGTTCAAACATTCTTGCCGCCTTGAGAGAATTTATTACGCGGAAATGGAAGGGCGACGAGGATTCAATTCATCCCTTGCTTCAGCGTGCCTTGTCAGTCATTCCCGTCGAGTACCCGTCGACTCCCTCTGCCTCCGGGTCCTTGGCCGCTCCTCTGATGCTTCTACTTCAGGTGTATCCCGAGCTGGAGAGGGGTGGAACGTCGGCCGAAGTGGACTGCGGCTGCCCCCATCCGTGGTTCCGAGAGAATTTGCCGATCGCGTTATTGACTCTTTCAATGGAACAACACGCCCAGATGTGGCGGCGTACGTCACTTCTACGGATGACATTCCTGCGCTGGCAGCAACGTCATGGCATGTACTTGTTGCGACGTCTTGCCACCGACACCTCCTTCCCCCCTATAGAAATGACCGCAAAGGCCCCAAGCACGGTCCCTAGTGAACAGGCAGAATGGCCCACGCCTCCGCGACCGCAGGATGCAGAATTGAAACAAGACCCAGCATTTGGTCATATAAACAGTAACAAAAAGAGCGGTGACAACAGCAATAAGTCCATGTCCAAAAATTCTGTGAAAATTTTGGATAAAGAAATTACATTGTCGCAATCAGTAGCAGGATTGACAGAGGCTCCTGAAAGCAAAGTAAATATGGTTGCTGCGACGATTTCTAATGACCCTTGTAATGTCAAATTAATTAGGTCGTTACTTTCGGAGTGTGATAAGTTGGCTTCGGCGCGGCTTAAACGCCAGGCCTTTCAGACCTGGCGCGACGTCCGCCTCGTGGAGCGTCGTGGCCTCCCAACGTATTTCTGCCCAGCTTCCAG